CCATAGTAACCGACGTGGACCTGCGACTCACTTCCAAATTTTGGCAACAATGGTGTAAATCTCTCGGTATTGAACACCTCTGTGCCCAACCAGGACACCATGAGACCAACAATCAAGTGGAATGACAAATCAGAGAACTCAAGACAGTAATGCGAAACATTACTAATAAGTAACAAAATAACTGGGAACCAGCGCTAGCAGAAGTAGCGGCATACAAACATGGATCATGTACGGAAACCTACGGCTCCTCCCTTTATGTAGTAGTGTATGGGAAGGAATACCCAATGAGAAAAACCCTCTGGTTTGGGAAATCATCAGTACCAGCCACTGATGAATTCCTTAACAGGCACCCAGAAACGAGAAACCTGGTATACCAGAACCTTCAGCTAGCACGATTCCGATCAACTTAAAAAGCCGCAAAAAGATGCGGAGTACGCAAACGCATCCTGATCGGACAACAAATCCTAGTTTATGGAAACCAATTTGCAACTCAATCAGGAAGCGGCAAAAAACTGGAACCTATGTGGAAAGGACCCTTTACAGTAATTGGATTCGACGAATACACTGAAAATTACATGGTGAAAATAGATGCAAAAATGTAACACCAACCAGAAGGTATCTTCCATGTAACATCAATTAAGAAATACACATCAAATGACGATGAAAGATTTCCAGGACTCGCCCACGCAAAGCCAATGTCAATACTAATAAACGAGTACCCGGAATAGGAAGTTTAAGAAATCTTGGACCACTGACAGCGCTACAACAGGAACGAGTTTTTGATAAAATAGAAGGAATACCTGGCAAGCAAGAACAGCTGTGAACCCGCTGAAGGACTCCCGAATGTGACAGAACTGATTCATGAATGGTGGTCTAATAACAAGGAAGGAGACCCATCCACCAACAATCCATGAGGTAACAATGTGCTGGGCACCAACAATACTTGAGGTAATCCGATAGGAACTCATCCCATGGATACCAAAAGGCTTGTGGGTGCCCTATGGCGACAATGAGTTCTTGTCAGGAGACGAGACTGGACAAGAGTCAGAATCACCCACACCCTCGGAAATATAAGCGAGACCTACACACACACATACACCCCTACACGAAACCCACGTACCCTCAGAAAATATAAGCAAGACCCACACACACACATACACCCCTACACAAAACCCACGCACCCTCAGAAAATATAAGCTAGGCTCACACACACATACACCCCTACACGAAATCCATGCATCCTCAGAAAATATACGCAAGACCCACACACACACACACACACACACACCCCTGCACGAAACCCACACACCCTCAATAGTAAAAGATACCGAAGCACATAAAAAGGTGCACTTCGTACTCAGATGTTGTTGGACCAAAACACCCCGCCATTGCACTCTGGAAACAAGAGCTGTTTATACCCTTCACACTCTAACTACCACACCCTACTACGGATACCTACCTTAGCATGAACCACCTCACCCATCGCACCATACTTCATTCTGATTGTACGAAGCTTGGCGAGAAGGACTCCTACCTTTGGCGCCTGAACTTTAGACACCTCAACAACATTACGGGACTACAGAGACGGAACTGATCTTCATTTGCTGTTGTCTCGGATGCAACCAGATGGACTGCAAAATCATAAAGCAGTGGTGGAAATCGATCAAGAAGGTATACCACCTACGATGTGCTCCAGCGTATTTCACCTCCTACATGTGTTGGAGATGTGCTGGGCCAGACCCGGAGAAAGGATGTATTGGAGGACTGGGATGTTTTTACAACTGCCAATGCCAATCGGGCTTTGTGGATGACGACGAGCTAAGCGAGGCTCAGAATATCTTTTTGTCTTTGTTTGGGTAAATGTTTTGATTTTCTTTGTTTGAGTAAATGTTTTGATTTTTGGGAATGTATTTTCGTTTTGGGGAATGTAACCGGAGGTGGTACTCGGTTAGTTTGTTTTATTTTTTGTTTTAAGTATCGGTTGAAACTTAGTTTGTTTTTTGTTTTATTTTAAGTATTAGTTGATAGTTAGATTGTTTTATGTTTTGTTTTAAGTATCGGTTGATACTTGGTTTGTTTTATGTTTTATTTTAAGTATTAGTTGATAGTTAGTTTGTTTTATGTTTTGTTTTAAGTATCGGTTGATACTTGGATTGTTTTATGTTTTGTTTTAAGTATTGGTTGATACTTAGATTGTTTTATGTTTTGTTTTAAGTATCAGTTGATACTTTGTTTGTTTTATGTTTGGTTTTAAGTATCGGTTGATACTTGATTAGTTTTATGGATTGATTGAGTAAGAACATGAGTGAGAATTCATGATTGTACATAAACAGATGTACTTAAAAAGACCGCCGTCTTCCACTCTGGAAACGGCAGACTTTGACAGATAGTATTCTAATATACTCTGTTGAACAGTTATTTTTATTTTCCTATCACACCACCGAAGCCTTCCTTAGCGAGCCTAAGAACTGTTGGTCTCTGGCAGATCATCAGTTCTCTTCTATTGTACCCTGCGACGTGACTAGCGCCACAGCATGAACACGTTGCATGCCTTATTATTTCATGCAATAATATGATATCATCACAATAACTATAGTGGGGCCTGGAGTCGACCACATGACCTTAGGCGTTTAGGCACGTGCCATACCGATCACCCTTATATATATAATACTATGGAACTAGCATAGCATAGGTTGTAAGAGAGTATGTCTCGATAGAAAACTAGGATCCAAGAAGCCATCAGCTAAGAGGAACTTCCAGGCCATTGTAATAGATTGAGCCAATCATCAGGTTAATAGTTTGTATTCTATATATTCTGAATATCAGACACATGCAATACACAGGATACCAGAGAATCTTTTTGCTAATCAATCAACCTCATGGTCTCTGATATGACTATAGATACAAGTTGTTATAGCTGTCCCAAAAGGTGACTAAGCCAGGCAGATTTTACATAGCTCAGGATTCCAAGTTATAAATCTGTTGGGATTCCACATGATATGAAATAGCAAGGTGTAGGTTATTATTTTTACTTGTTTCTGACTTACAGTTGTGAGTCACATGTTGTTATGATTTTTCAATATGACTCAAATTATGAGTCCTGGGTTTCCTGCAGCTGACATAAGTTGCATAACATACCTGGTTATTAAATTTTGATTGGTTTAAGGTATGTTGTACAGTGACTCCTAGCGCTCAGCTGAAGGATGTCACATGACTTACACAGTTGTGAGTCATGGGTGTCATGTGACATAACGTATGGGTCACACCAGGTGAAGAGCAGATATATAGACTGTTACTAGGATTCCAAGTATGAGCTCTTCACATGTTGTTCTCTGTTATTTCCTACACTTATTAGTTCAATAAAAAACATCTTACCCTCTCTACTCTACTCTAAGCAATCCAAGCACTATTTCTCCCCCCATGACGAAATATTAAGTCCTAAGCAAGGACTTAAGAGGATCATGGAAATAGGTACAATAAGATAGAAGTTAAAGGATATGACTATAACATCACATAGGCATTGGCCCAAGAACTATTACATTAAAGTGAGATAAGAACTGTTATCTGTCCCACCCCTGTGCCTGGTAGGATTCTTAACAATAGCTTACAATTATATCATTATACCCCTCTGAATCTACCATCTATCCTCATGATCTCCCATAAACTATCTGAATTCCTTGAGTTGTTCATTACAATATTAAATATCTATTTAAACCTTAAACTTATCTGGCTCAAATCCCACTTTCAACCCCGAGGCTAGATCATGCTTTCGACTCATTTTTTCAAATCATAATTTGCAGTTAGCTTGCTAGATCCCCATGATTCCAAATCACGATTTGGAATCATAATCACTTTTTCCACAAACCCCGTAGATATCTGGCTCCCCAGTAACCGTGCCAAGGTTGTGACTCCGTCACAACCCCCGTTTGCTCGCTTGCTCGCAACCTGGGGCACTCTCAAGAGAGTGCCTCACAGCTCAACGATAGTAACAGCTCAACGACACTTTCACGCCTAATCCAAATCAAATTCCCACCACATGAAAATAAAAGTTGTAAAAGAGGGGAAAAAAAATAGAAGACTTATTTGCGAAGACTAAAAACAATGTATGAGAAAGTCAGAAGGGTTTTTAAAGCATCAGAGAATGTTAAGTAGTGGTTTGTAATTCTTAAATTCACATACAAATTGAAAGTATCGTTGAGCTGTGAGGCACTCTCTTGAGAGTGCCCCAGGTTGCGAGCAAGCGAGCAAACGGGGGGTTGTGACGGAGTCACAACCTTGGCACGGTTACTTTGTTCAACCCGTATTCCCAAAGCGTCGTGCATGTCCAGGCCAAAAAGGGACACTTCCGGATACCAGTTGGATTTTCAACAATGCAGAACACCGGAGCACGGGAGGGTATGAACCCCCGCCCACACATCACCAGGACCATTCAGTGGTTCACCTTAAATATATTCTAGGTTGTCTACATCGTCAGCCCTCCTTACCGTCACGCTCCCTGCGCTTCAATAAAGCCATACATGGTCCTGCTCACGCTGCCACAAAGACAGGGAAAATAAAGCAAAAACACCGAGCCCAGCAACACCACAAAGGAAGGTTGGGCCCACCATATAGCAGAGTATCTAAGAACATGAAAAGCGACCCGGCGAGGAAAACTTGCATCGCAATCAGGGAAAATTTTGAAAATTGAAGAAGGTTTCCCCCCCAAAAAAAGTAAAAGAAACAACCACAATGAGACAACATCTACAATAAAAGAAAGCGAAAAAACAAGCGACCTGACGCCCAGAAGGTTGTGCACGAAATGAGGGTATAATCGGAAGTCAAGGAACTTTTGCTGATTTAACAAGTGGGGATAAAATTGTAGATATGCGATGACAATCCGAGTGCTGAGGGGAAATCAAGGGCTGAAAGTGTTGACCCCGTGTTGGTGCCCCTGTTGCCGTCATGAAATGGGTTACCAGCAAACAGGGTATTCTGGGCTGGAATAAGTCGGACCCTAAGCGTTATCTCCTCCAGCCTCCCTCCTCCAGCTTCATATCCCTGAAGGCCTTGGATGACATCTCAAGCACCGATTCAAACCCCAGACGTCCCTTCAGAGCATTTTGTCCAAACCTCTCCACTGACCAATCCTCAATTGCGCCACAAATTTTTGAGAATGCGCCATAGGCGGTGATTTGTGCATCCTGTTGGAATCGAGTCTTGGTCTTTGGGCTCGAAGGGTCCGGAGAGTAAACCACTGTCTCCTGAACAGAGATTATGTTTGAGCCTGTGAGGTTCATCGAGCGGAGGGTGACGGTTTGCTGCTGAGGGTCGACGCTGGATACTTCTCGGACATAGGATTCTTCGGCGCCGCCAACAATTTTCATTAACCAGCGGGGGGCATTCTGTTTACAGGTTATTAGGCGTTCGGTGCGCAGCTTAAGATGACGAGTTAGCTGGGGCAATAATGATTATCAGGAAGTGGCCGGCTACTCACAATACCAGTACGGGGGTCAACACTTCGGCTCAGTGTGTCAACCGCTACGACATGAGTACTCTGCGTGTTCCAGGACCCGTATTTCCTCCAGTTTGCGATGGAGACGTTGGCCCACGGGTATTCAAAGGTGCATGATGACTCAAACACCTTCATTGGGATATCTGGCTGTGCCTTCGTAGTATTCTATATGGAAGGATGGAGAGAAGCTATACTAATCATCCAAGATGACGAAAAAGAAAGTGCAAGGAAAAAGGGAAACGCAATGATAGGTAACGGGGTCCTCGCGTATCGGGAAATCCGAGCAGGGGAAAGAAACAGGCGTGGGGACCCCGAGATGTGGGTGAGAAGTTAGTGAAATGTGCGGAGCGAGGGAGATGGGTGGATAATGGTGGAATTTCGGAAGTTGTTGAACGGGGAGTTCAGAAAAGATTTTTTAGGCCTGAAAAGCAAAAGCGAGGTCAGAAAGTGGGAAAAAGGCTTTAAAGTTAGACTGAGAAAGGAAGGGCGATCACAATTTCGGGTCTTTTTCTGACAGGGGGGTCTGTTCCTAGATGAGGGCAGGGGAACTCCGATCTAGATCTGTCCAAGGGCTGAGTAATACAAGTAGGAAAGAAAAAGCGGGACAAGGGCCGATTAAAGTAATGAGAACTATGATGCGGTAACAGGTGACTAGGGTAGCGTAAAAACTCTTGAAATCCGCCATCTGAGATCCTAACCATGCCAGAGTTCCCGCCGATGGTGTAACTGTGCGCAGTTGCAAATCTTGCCGTTGTCTCCTACATGCCCAAGGGCTTAATATGAGTTTCATCTCGATGACAAATTAGAAAACCTTTCCATTTGCAATTCCGTATCCACAACTCCAAAAACTAAAATGATGTCTGACTCATATAGCAATATTGAATCAGGGATTAAAACTGCATGCTTAGCTTTACCACCAGCTGAAAATTCAAATATTGCTGCTATAGTGCAAGCAGTTCAAAAAGGGAACCTAAAATTGTACTTTTTTCAAATCCTTAAGGCTCCACAACCATCATATATAATTGCTGAAAAAAAAAAAAACCTGCGTCTGAAAAAGCAGATGAAGGAGAATATAAAACAGTTTTTATTTTTTGGGAAATATAATTGTGGTTAGAGAGCCTTAAGGATTTAAAGAGATGTATTTTTGGTGAGAAAGACAGAAAAGTGTTACAGTAGCCACAATTTATTGGATTAGTAAGTCTGAATTTATTTTATAATATATTATTTCTATATTTTTTCCCACACTATTTCTCATTATATATATAAATTAATAGTCTCTTTAAACCCTTATACCTTCAATCCTTTCTTCAATAAATTTTGCTATACTATTGGTATCCAATCTTGGCATTCAAATTCACACAGCCACATGGAACACCCTCGGTACACCCAGCAGTTCCTTTTTGGACTGCTTGCACCAAACGGCATGAGAATTTGAGGTCCTAGAAGGAAGACAAAGAGGAAGATAGAAAGACCGTCAGCCAAAGTCAGAGAAACTACTGGTGAACTGAAAACTTACAGAGGCAGAAGAGTTTGTGGTTTGCATGTACATAAAAATAATTGAAGAAATTGGAATCTCTGTCACAAACTGTGACTAAGCAAGACAGATTTCACATAGCTCGGATTTCTGAGTTACAGGTATGTTGGGATTTCACATGACGCACACTAGTGTGCCATGGGTTATTATGTTTACCTGTTCCTGACTCACAGTTGTGAGTCACACAATGTTATGATTTTTGCACATGACTCATACTTATGAGTCATGGGTTTCACTCAGGTGACGCGAGTTGCGCATCTGATTTGGTTATTATGTTTTGATTGGTTTAGGCATGTTGCGCAGCGACTCATAGGAGTTGTCTGATGGATTTTATATGACTCACGGGGATGAGTCACAGGGTTCGCGTGATGCGAGGTGTGACTCACGCCAGGTGAAGAGCGACTATATAAAGGGTCACTAGAACCCTGAGTATGAGCTCTTCACATGTTCTTCTTGTTTATTTCCTACCTCTAAGTTATTATCAATAAAACCTACCTTTACGCTCTTTAAGATTTATCTTAAGAAAGCCGAGAAGTGTCTTTCCTCCAATGAGAAGAGATTAAGTCCTAGGCGAGGACAAAGAAGAAGAAGAATAAGAAGATAGGCGCAAATACGATAGTAGTTAAAGGACTGGACTATCGGGATCGCGTAGGTATAGGCCTAAGAGCTATGCCCCTACAGAGAAGTATCGTTACCTGTCGCTAGATCCTACCAGGTAGGATTCTTAGCATTAGAACGTGTCTACAATGCGACACTTAATAAAAACACCACAGATCCTTTCAACAGAGATCACGAGGGAGACATAGACGTCCAAGACGACAGTCTAGGATTAGGAGGATTGGAAGAAGCGCTTAGCGAAGCAAGTCAAAACGCAGCAAGATCGACAAGTCCCGTCACTCCAGAACCAATCACTCCACTGTTACCAGAAGAACCTTCAGAAACACCAAGACCTGAAAGAATGTCAGGACCCGCACCACCACCTGGTCCGCTACCAGCAGGACCAGCTCTGTTCACGCGACTGGAAGTGCAACAGATGATACGAGAGGAATACCAAAGCAGAGATCAGAAGCCAAAAGTCAAAACACCACCCAGATACGATGGGGAAAGAAGCAAATTACGAGGATTTATGGTCCAACTCCTCACATACTTCAATGTAGTAGGGTGGAAACAAGAACATGATGACGACAAAATACGCTACACCTTAACACTGCTTGGAGGAGTAGCCCTACAGTGGGTTACTCCTATAGTGCTCAGTCAGACACCAGTACCATGGACAACCTGGGACAGCTTCGAAATCATATTCGAAGCCCAATTCATGAATATGGAACTGAGCCAATCGGTATGAAACAAATTGGAACACATCAGACAAGGAATGAAAAATGTCACCGATTATTGGTATGAATTCAGACTTCTCCAATACGATGCCGAATGCGACGAAGCAACAGCAATAAGGTGGTTCATGAAAGGTCTGAAGAGGACCTATCAAGAAGCCTGGAGATACAGCGAGGAAAAATTCACAATGACAGAAGCCATGGCCAGCTGGGCCATTCGAAAAGAAATTCAATTTGAGCAACTAGACTGGATACAGAAGAATCAGCCAGCCTCGACCCAGTCTAGCCAAGCGAACCCTCGAAACCAAAACAACCTTAGGAACCAGAATGGGACCTACAGGACCACAACGCAAGGAGGCGATGCAATGGACCTGGACGCAACAAGAAGAAGACCGTCACTCAATCTCGGAAGAGACGAATACCTTAGGAGACGAAACAACAATCTGTGCCTAAGATGCGGAATAGCAGGTCACATGATTAAGGATTGCAGACGGCCGGCCAACCCAAGTCAAGGAAGAAACCAACAGAACACAAGGCCAAGCACCAGATTCTAACCACGCAGCAATATCAGGGAAATTGATATCGAAGACGAATACGAAACGGTGGCAAAAGACGAAGGTCCCCAGCAATAGATGGTCTGTGGGACCCTCCGAAAGACAAACCCATCTCGACGGCCAACTACTCCACTCTTTTAAGTCAGAAAAACAATAACGACAATGATCATATCATGATCGAAACCGCAATATACAACGACAAAAAACAAGTAATCAGGATACATGCTATGCTTGACTTGGGAGCAACGGAAGACTTCATAGACGAAGAAGTCTGCAAGAAATACCAGTTAAGGACCAAGAAAACGAAGAAAGAAAGGCAGATTTACCTCGCAGACGGAAAACCCAGCGATATGGGGCCAATTACCCATACAGCGCAAGTGCCTATAAACATTCGGAATCATAGGGATGTGGCGACCTTCCAAGTGGCGAACCTGCAACACCATGAGATAATCCTAGGGATGCCATGGTTACGACAACACAACCCTACTATCAGTTGGGAAGAAGTAAAGGTTGCGTTTACAAGCGAACGATGTACAACATGGTGTCTTCACAGTTTGCCGGTAATATACGCAACACCAGAAGAAGAAGCAATCCAAGAGAACCTAGACGCGAGGTTCAATCAAGTTCAACCAAGGAAGAATCCAATGATCAAAGTCAAGAAGCTAAGCCAAGAAGCAAAGATACCCACAAGAGGATCCGAGAGGGCAGCAGGAGACGACCTGTATGCCAGCGATGAAGCCAAGATACCGGCCAACGGGCAGGTAATTATTCCACTGGGCATAATATTCCACTGGGCATAACCATTAAGTCACCTCAAGGAACCTATGGGCGTATAGCACCACGCAGCGGTCTCGCAGTCAAACCCAGACTCACTACCAATGCTGGTGTAATAGACGCCGATTCTCCAGGTGAATTGAAGGTGGTCATGGTCAACCAGGACAACAAAGACTATGTGGTAAAGAGAGGCGATAAGATCGCGCAACTGATTATCGAAAAAATGAATGAAGAGGAACTCCAAGAAGTGGAGAACCTGACCAAAACCACCAGCGGAACCAAAGGGTTGGGCAGCACAGACCAGAAAAGTCCACCACCAGAGAAAGTACCAAGGATTGAGATCAACAGGATATCGGTGCAAGCCTTCGGGAAATTCTATCACAAGGGAGAAACGGCTGGAATTCTCAAATGGGATTATCAAAACCAAGGAACAAGCCTAGCAAAGATCAATATCAGTACAGAACTAGCCATAAGAAGTCGACCTCAGACAAAGGACGAAAAACTAGACCGATTGGTACCCAAGGAATACCATCAACATTTAGACTTGTTCCAAGAAAAGGAATCAACCAAGTTACCTCCCCACAGGCCAGAGGTCGATTTGGAAATCAATTTCAAGGAAGCTAGCAAAGGACTGCCTCAGAAGAGAATATACCTGCTACGAGAAACAGAACTCGAAGAACTAAGCAAATACATTCAACAGAACTCGGAAAGAGGATGAATTCAGCCATCCTATGCCAACAGAGGATCACCCATCCTGTTTATCAAAAAGAAAGATGGAAAACTAAGGTTATACATTGATTACCGAGCACTCAATCACATAACAAAAAAGGATAGATATCCCCTACCTCTAATAGGAGAAGCATTGGATCGACTAGCGTCAGCCAAATACTTGACCAAACTGGACGTTTGGGATGCCTATCATAACGTCAGAATTAAAAAAGGAGATGAATGCAAAACCACATTCGCGACGAAATATGGGACCTACCAATACTTGGTTATACTATTCGGACTAACCAATGCACCCGCCTCGTTCCAACGATGGATCAACAAAGTACTCCACAAGTACTTGGATACATGTTGCATCGTCTACCTAGATGATGTACTAATATACTCCAAGGATATGGAACAGCACCAAAAGGACGTCCGTAACATAATGGCCGACATCAAAGAATCAGGAATGAGGTGCAAATCCAGTAAATGCGAATTCCATAAAAAAGAAACTGAATACCTAGGATTTATCATCAATGGCAAAGGGGTCCAGATAGACCCAGTTAAAACCAAAGCTATATGGGAATGGGAATACCCAAAGAACAAAACGGATATCCAATGCTTTATGGGATTCTGCAACTTCTATCGAAGGTTTATAGAGGGTTTCAGCCAAACAGCCCAACCGTTCTATAACCTAACCAAAAAGGATGGCAAATGGGAGTGGGGCATCAAAGAAAGACAAGCGTTTGACA